TATGTGTCCTGACAGCATTATTTTTCACATCAAATATGCAGAACAACCAGCTTCTGACACACTGTGGCTCTGTGTATGTGCTTATCCACTCATGCACATGCTCTCTTGGATATGCAGAGAGGCTCTCTTGTTCTCAGTAAGGGCTCCCCCAACATCTGGACCTGTATGTCCTGTATGCCCTGCAGCAGTGTTTTAATAAAAGCTTGTTTCAGATGCAAACATGCACAAACATTGACTGCACTCTATCCTCTGCTGTAAGAAGAAGGGAGGGCTGGGGAGAGCAAAGCGAAGCTCGGCTGTGGAAAACCAGCTTTCAAGTCATTTCTGTTTCCAGAGTTGTACCGGTCGGCCTCAGGGCCCGACGTGATAGATGCTGCTCTCATCCTCTCGAGCTTATCGCTACCCCTCACTCACTTTTATCCAAATCCCTTCTTTTCTCTGCCAAATCGCCAGTCTCTCTTTGCTTACCTCCATCTTCCTCCCCATTGCTATTCATTGCTTCCTGCGACTCCATTTCTGGTTCACTATATTATGTTTATGTGGTGCCCCTTTCAATTTCTTTATCTCTGATATCCATTACAGTAGACCCATCCCACTCCTCCTATCTCACTGTGCGATGATTGCACAAATGCATTTATAGGAATTGTGTATTGTCTGCCACTTTGGCACCTTTCTGCTATTTGAAAAATCAATTACCTATCCAATAAAACATTAAACAGTAAAAGCAGCTCTGTGCTCTGCTCTGTTAGTGCCTAACTGCGCTACATAGTTTAAAATCACTCGGATGAGAACTAAAAACACTGGAGGCATAACAAAGCCGAGAGGATGATGCTGCCTTTGTAGATTTCATTGCCTGACCCCTCCAGGGCAGGATAACCAAATCCTAGCAGGTAAATGCCATCACGTGCTATTCACTGACAGACTTGGGAGGTGATCTCTCACTACACTCATTCACATAGAAGAACCAAGTGTAGAGACACTGAAGCGAGTAATTATGAATAAGGAGAAAGAGTGGTTGAACAGTGGAAGCGAGGAAGAGGATGGAGCGAGGAGGGTGATGGTATGGTCGAGCGGCTGAGAGCTGATATTGCATGCCTTATCAGTCACCTCCAGGTCTTTGCTTATTATAAAGAGAGGCAAAGTCAGAGTCGAATGTAAGGTGAAAGTGAGTGTGTGGGCCAAGCAATCCTCTTGTTGTGGGGACCTAAATGTGTTTACATAGTCACATTATGGGGTCGGGGCTTCCTTATAGAAACTGAAAGCAAGTCCTTATGACATTTACATAAATAGATTGACTATCAGACACAAGGTTAGGATTTTGTTAAGCTAAGGTTAGACAAGCAGAAGATTATGATTTTGGGTCGAGCAAATCTGCACGAAATTAATACAATAATACAACAAAATGTAATCTCTAAAGTGATGAATTGATTGTGAATGTCTGTGTGCGAATGGAAAAGAGATTTCAAGAGTCAAACCACAGCGATACTTTCACTCCTTCCGAAGTAGTGTGCGAAAAATGGAACTGATCTTCCTTGATCCTTTTCTGGGGTCAAAAGAAGAAGAGCTCACAACTTTTTAGCACTTACACTTTACGTAATGCTACAGCACACAAGCGTCAAGGAGCAAATATGAGCAAGAGAACATTTAGATTATTTGCTCTCCATGCGCACAAATATTACCATAAAACCTGTGCTGGCACAAAGTCTTGAGGGAATACAACAACATACCCAAACAGACTTAGGTTAGAAGTTGGTGCGCAGACACATTTCTGTGAAATCCAAAAACTCGCAAACTAGATAGCTGAAAATGTAAGCTTTTTGGGCGGAGTTTTCTGCGATAAGGAAAGGGTAAAACTTGGCACTCCATCACCTGCAGACAGTTTAGAGGTAGATGCATTTTGAGAAACCACTCCGTCAACCATTGCAGCAGTTATAATAGAATTGCTTCTAGGCAGAACACTTTCTCTCTGTAGTTAATGGAGCCAAATAATTGCACTCAGGACCATCAAAATTCCCACTCATGTATCACTTGATAGATCTTTGCTGAGCCCATATTGATGCAGTTGGACATTTTATGACATAATGTAACAGAGCTGTAAAAGATTAATGCTTTCTAATGCATTTGGAAACAAACAAACAAAAAAAATCATCTACCATTAGGTTTTCTGTTTGATCACTGCAACTCTCCATACAGTGTGAAGTAATGCTTTCTGAGGTCTAATGCTTCAGATGCCAAAGCTACAGCCAGCAGGATTCTTCCAGCAAGTAGTGAAGTTGGTATTGTTCACTTGTCAACAAGGAAATGGAGTGCAGTGGACACAGATATCGATCAATATTTCTGCACCATAATACAGTGCTATTCAGCATTCTGCGCCTTTGCATTGAGTTGTGGAGGACGGGCTTGTAATTACAGATAGACTGCCTTTTCGCTCTGTCTCTTTCATAACACAAGCAAGAAGAAATAATAGTAATGTGTTCATTAATTCGGCTTCACAAAAGTGGGAAAAAAGTTGACCAATTCCAGCTTATTAACTTTGACTTGAAAATAATAGTTTTTGAAGGAAAATTGGGCAGAATAATTAGCTTCAGCAGCTACGGCTTGTACTTTGTCAGCAGTGGCAGTCGAGGAAAAGCTGGACAAAACTTTTTGATGGCTGCTGTGCGACTGCTGCAGTGCTCCTCCCTGTTTAGTAGACATGTTTTGCCTCTTGAGTTTCAATCAAGTTTCTGCCTGACTCAGTCCTGGTAATAACAGGAGTGTGTAGTGGGCTATAGATGCAGATAGTTTTAACTTTCCACTTAGCTTGTTTTTGTTTGTGTTACTTTTGACAGACTTTTGTTCTCAAAGTATAAATCAATATGACAACAGCATCCTGTCAGGACAGTTATATACTGATTTATTTATTTATTTTTAAAAAACATGAAAGAACACCTGACAGCAGGTCCACACTGGGTTTCCGGTAGTTATACGTGCATCAGGATTAGACTGCTGGCAGAAATCACAGGCTTGCCAGTGGAAGAACAAGTGAGGTGTTGACAGTAGCTGGCTGTTGTGCCAGGAAAATAAGAATGCCAGATATAAGTGCTACCTGACAGTGAATAAGGCATGCTGTACCAGAAGGCATCATTCTCACTATCAGGGATCATCCTGCTACTACCTGAATTACACTACAAGTCGACACATTGCCATCAAACATTACACTAACGACGCTGTGGTGTGTGTCTCTCTGTTAAATAAAGGCACAGTGAGGGTTTTTTTCCTCCAGTGTTGTGGGAATAAAATCACAGCAGCTTATGTCTTCTTTGGCATAAAGCTTAATCTGTCAGTGGTTTTGTTATAAAGCACAGACTGCAGAATATCTCTTAAGTGATGTCTCCAAAACATCCTATTTTATGACATATTGAGTGACTAAACACTGCAGCTCTGCTATCCAGTTTAACAGCGAATCTACAAGCTTCCGCGTGTTTGGAAATCTGCTGCAAAGTTTACTGCCAATATTTCTAATAAGGCAGAAATGTGCTTGGAATTAGTCTTGCATACAGAAAAAAATTATTAAGATTAATAATTGGTTTTTTTCATGAAGGACCAACTTTAATGAGATTAGTATTGGTGGAGTAAGACCGAGAGAGAAAGGCTGAAATAAAGTGTGTCTCACTCTTGTGTTAATGATATTAAGGTTTTCTCCAAAAAAGTCGTGGCTTTTACTGAGCTGAACAACTGCAGGAAAGACACACATGCACAGTTGTAAGCATGTGTGCATCCATGCGTTAATGTGATGGAATGTATTCAATGAAACAATGTATTGAAATTGATACGTGCATGGATGCAGGGGTGTTTCCAAAAGGGGGAAATGGGGTGGCATCAACCCCCCTCAGTATACGATTTACTCCTCCAGTGCACATCCCGAACCAAAGCCGTTGGACTACATTTACTCTTTAAAAGCCACAACAGCAAAAGATTACACCTTTAATGTACTTCATGTACTTTATTTAAGTACTTTCATGCTATGCTGCTTTCTGCTTTCACTCCATTATAACGTTGATGTGAATAATATACTTTGTAGTCCACAATATTTATTTTAAAGTTGTAGTTACTTATTATTTTGCAGATTAATTGCAATATTATAGTTCAAGCTCCCATGCAATATAAAGGTTATTAAAATCTTCAACAGCTTCAACATTAAAGAGATAAACACATCAATAAATCAGTAATTATTATCCAACAAGTGTTACTGCACATAATGAGGTACATTTACTTTTGATACTTCGATATATTCTCAATATACAACTTTGTGAACTATTAAGCTGCTTAAATAGGATTATTTTTTAATTAAGCAGAAAGCCTAAATACTGTTTTTCCACTTTGCAATAATTATCTGACGCAAGATTACGTTTAAATTCTTGTGCAGCTCCACTTTCCATATAACAAATCTGCAACAGGACACAGGGTTTTTATCTCTGCATCACTCTAAAAGGTTATTATAAATAGCACATAATTAGTCTGGGTAATTATGGTATGTGTAAGATTGATTGGTATTTGTTTGCTGCTATCATTTGATTTTTGACATTTCTATTATTTGATTCATGTGCAGTTCATAAGATAATTAAATAAACCTGGTGCTTGCATATCTTAGATGCAGTTCACACGTTTGCACATTGCAATCCAAAAAAGCATCCATTATGAACATGAAACATATACATATATATTATAGATGAGTTTAGAACGTGCGTAAATATTATATGTAGCACTGTGTATACATCATACATCTGTATGGAATCTATAACTGTTTGATATTCTTAGATGTTTCTAATTTCACATTTTTTTGCCGAAGCTGTTTCATTTTCATGTGCTTACAGAAACAAATCATGCTTTATTGTATTTTACCAGGAAAGGTGTGTGTTGAAGCTGAATAAACAGATAATCCTGTGTGTATGTCTCCATGCCACAGTAGATGTTCTATTTAGTAAAAAATTTAATTAAATAATAAAAAAAAACATTACCTGCTGTAGTCAAGCAAATCTCCTCGTCACTGTTGTCCTGACAGTTGTCCTGTCCATTACACAAGAAGCTGCGGTCCACACAACGGCCATTTCGACACTTAAAGCGAGCCTCCGAGCACACCGAGGGGTTCTCCGCTGTGGTCGAATCAGAGCAGAGGTAAAGGGTCAGCTGTTAGCTCAAACACATTTACAGGGAAAAGTTTTCAGCTCAGATTGATCTGCTGTATCTGACAATTTGTTTAAAGTCAGGTAAATATTATATGGTGGCATTTTAGCAGAAGATATGAAACATTTAAGAACTATCGGCAAGTTTGTGTGGAGTTTGATAAAAATCAAAATCATTTAAAAGAGAGGACAAAACCTTTTTAAAACATTCAAAGTCCTGCACAGAACTACCACTCCTTTTTCAGTACGTTCTGGTTTTTGTCTTTGTTCAAGCCTCTGCAAAATGAGGCATAATTATCTTGTGAGAAGATCCAGACAATTACACAGTTGTGACGCAGTATGTGCTGGGAGCATAGAGCAAAGCTCCATTTAAATGGCTAGATTAGATTTGTGAGCATGGGGCCCTGCAGGCTAGAAACACTGCCTCTGACAATGGTGAGTGATTGGCTCGAATCACATTCCCCACTGGGAAAGCGGCAAAGGGGTCATGTGAAAGCCAATTATACTCTAAAAATTTTTTTTTAAAAAACCTTGTACATCTTGTACACCTACTACAACAACACTAGGGTAAAACATGGACAACAATATTTACATTGTTAAACAGATGTAAAAAAAAAGTAAAGATAAAATGATGCATAACCATGGAGTTATGAGCGATGCATAAAAATGATATTGTCAACACTATAATATGCAGATGTGCAAAATTCAGTTTTTAAAAATTATTGAGACACAGCAACTCTGCAGAACTTGGACTCTTTATATGACTTTTCCCCTCTCAAAGTAATGATGTAACTAGAAGTCCAGCAGGGATAGCTGTGCCAGATAGTGCTGTGTCCACTGAAGCTGATGTGTGCCCACCAGGTGCCACAGCATACTTCAGAAGACTCACAAAAATGGATCGCCACTCTTCTCCACTAAAAATACATGGGTTCACAGCTTTGATGGAAGTTTCAC